ATAGTTTATAAATTGGTATTTTGTCATATGAGACTAACTCTTTGAGTAGAAAGCCGTGTCTTCTCACTTGGAGCTGGTGGCTTTGAACTGCAGACATCTCGGATCGCAGCCTAACGCATAACCACTATACCAGCAGAGCTCCAAAAAGCCATAGCTGGACCACGGACAAGGATTTTGGGTTTTATTCTAAGTAAGGTGGGGGCGCGGGGGAGGAGCAGTTACGCATTGGGCTGCTAACAGCCTGGTCTGGAGTTCAAAAGCGCCAGGCACCCAGGGGAGAAAGATGAGGCTTTCTAGGCTCCTAAAGGGTCACAACCTCAGAAACGACGGGCGGTTCTACCCTGCCCTCTGGGATTGTTACGAGTCAAAATCCACTCGATGACAATGAACTGGTTTGGTTTGGTTTAGAAGGTGGGGGCCGTGGGAATGTTCGGAGCAAATGAGGGACAGAACCCGGCCTTTAATTTTTGATTATTGTTTCGAATCAAAGGCCTCACATTATGTATTGTTAACGTCTCGCATAAAACTCAACATAAGTGAAATTCATCAGATAGTGGCGCCCCTTTGCAGCGGAAGGAGGCTGTCTGTGTTGCACGTGGGTTTCCCAAGCGGGTGGGTTTTTGAAAGAGGATTTCTAGGCCTCTGATCTGAGTGGGGCTATCAGCCCTGGTGGTGTACTGGTTCTGTGACTGTGATCCGAACGCTCTGCGATCGTTTAGGTTGCCAGTTCGAAACCGAAAGCCGGGGCTTTCTACTCAGTTACAATTTTGGAAACCCACAGGGGGCACTCTGAGTCAGCATTGACTTGATGGCAGTGAATGTGTTCATCCGAGGGGTCTCTGGATGGCGGTGAACAGCCAACCTTTCAGCTTGTAGCCAAGCACTAACTGTTTGCTCTATCCAAGAACTCCGAAAATAAGATGAATCCCTTTCTGAAAGGGCTATGGCTAATGAAACTGACGATGTAAGTGCCCGGCACAGAGAAAAGAAGCAACACGGCACCAACATCCATCCCAACGGTTTATTGAACGGGGAGTGGGCATGGAGAGGAGGGGCAAGGGGCCCAAGGGCGGTACCGCCTGGCCAGAAGGGGATTGAGGACCCTTCCAGCGGGCGGGGAGCGGAGGGGGCTGGGGAGGAAGGTCCTGAGCGCACCTCTTCCGCTGGCTTGGCGCTCCCTCTAGAGGTAGAGAGGATGTAGTGCCTCTGGCCAGGAGCCTACAGGCTGGAGAGGTGTTTAATCAGCTCCTGCGAGGGCTCTTTAGTTGTCAGTCTGGGCCGACGTGTTTGTGAGTGAAAGGGGGTGGGGGGAGCGCAAAGCCATCCCAGTTCTCCTGCCTTCCAGCTCTTACAGACACATTTAAATCCAGGTCGAAAATCTTGTCCAAGCTCTCTGGGCCAAACCTGCACCTAGAGTTGACCCAGGGTCTGCAGATGTGGAGTTGCTTCCCTGCAGCCTGCCTGGTAGCATGAAGTTGGACGCTTCACTTCTAAGCACACACATCGCACCCCACCCCCGTATCTGTAATCTGGGGCCAATAACTATCCCCGATAGGATGGATTCTGGCATGCTGGGGACATGCGCACCTAGAGAACATGCTGTGGGGGATGACTTGGGGTGTTTCACATGGTCCTGGAGGGCAAGGTGTGGGGAGTACCTTCCGGCCCATCTGAGGCATTCTGGGAGAAAGAGAAAGGCCCCTTGCTCCACCCCTGACCCTTGCCCATGGAGGGAGCACATAGGGTCTGAGCCCCTCTTAGGACCGAGGTAGGAACTGAGGGTCTGAGAGTGAGGGACATGAGGGACCTGTCCAAGGTCACATGGTGGGAATTTGGGGTCCAAATGGAAGATGTTTTCTGTCCCCCTGTATGGCCTTGAGAAAGGCAGGGGGTACCTTTTAAGAGGATGTGGGGAAGACTAGCATCTTGGATGAGCTCTAGAACTGGGAAATTCGGTCTCCAGACTTCCTGACCGGGAATCAGGCCTTTCAGAGGCCCAGCTGAGAGAGGAAGTTGGGGTGACCATGGGAAGGCGGCTGTGGCGTGGAAGAAGAGCCCTGACCCTTCAGCCAGCTCCTCCTCTGGCCGAGCGGGCAGCTCAGGAGTCCCGTCCAGGCTGGATGGTCTGCACAGAGGACGGCCCAAAGGGGCTGGTGTTTGGGGAGAACCATGACTGGTTGCTGGCATCTCGGAAGAGCGGGGACAGCTGTTGCTCAGGCTCGTTCCCAAAGACTTCCACCTGGCCAGGCGTGTCGATGTCCCAGGGTTCTGCCTTGAAGTCCCGGCTCAGCCAGCTCGTCAAGGCCCAGCACAGGCAGATGGCCAGCAGGGCGCCGGCCGCTGCACAGAGCACCGTGCCTGCCAGGCGGCAGGTGCTCAGGGATCGGTTGTAGTCGGCTGCCCGTTGGTCTAATACCAGGAGCTCACCCTCACCGATGCCCTCCAGTTTGGGGGGCACTGCATAGCCAGTGGTCAGGGCCGCCGCACCCAGCAGCAGGAGCAGGGTCCCTGAGGACAAGCTGATCTGGAGAGAAATAGACCAGGGAGTAGTCAGGGTCAGCCTGGGCCTCCTGGCCAGACGCACCTTGAATCCCAATGGGATTGAAAGGTCACCTCTTGGTGCAGCCTTAAGAGGTAGGAATCACAGAACACACTCAAACCAAACCAACCTCACTGCCATTGAGCCAATTCCGACTCATAGCGACCCTAGACTTGGAGCTGGTGGCTTTGAACTCTAACTTTTTGGGTCGCAGCCTGAGTTAGTTAATTGTGCCAGCCTGGCCGATAATCACATGTGGGTCTGGTTGAAAGGCGGAGGGATAAATGGGTGGTGAAGCCTCGCCTTTCTAGTTCTCGGGTCTCTTGTTTTGTGATGGTCGCACCAGGATGCAGCTGCCTTAGCAGCTTCCTGCTTCAGCTTGCAAGATTGACATCCTACAAGACATCCCCAAGGAGAAGCCGCATGGATCTATCCCGATGCAGCCCTGGGTGCTGGAGCAGCCATGTGGAGACCCCTGCCAGTGCTGAGATGCTTACACGTTCACTGTCTCAGCTTTCCTCCTGCAGTGGGCATTATTGCCTCTGTTTTGTGAGGTGAAGGACTTTGCGGACTGGTGTTGGGTATGGGTTAATGTTGGACTTGTGGGCTTGGGCAGCATTGGGTTGGGATGTTTTCGTGATGCACATTTTCTTTGCATAAAACTCTCTCTTATACATGAGTTGCTGTGGATTTGTTTCTCCAAAGTACCTAGACTAATACACAGCCCAAGGCTTAACAACTATGCCACCCACCAGGGCTCCTGTACAGGACACACCAGCTGGGGCCTAAGTGACCCATTCCGGAGCACAAACAGCCATATTCTATTTGGATTCTTAAAGTTTCCTGATTAATTTCCTTCCTAGCCCCCACCCAGCACTGGCTTTCTCCTGCCCACCCTGAGTCCCCTCTTGTATGATTTGGGCCTCATCTAATCCCCGTGTCCTACCAACCTTCGTTGTCTCTGTTAATATCCACATGGTCCTCAGATCTTACCTGAAACTCCACCTCCTTAAGGAAGTCTTCCGGGATACCCACCCCCACCCACCCCACCTCCTGCAAAGCCAGTCTTTAGTACCTTCACTGGGGGGGGAGGGGGGGGCGCACGCTGATGTGTGTTTTGGTTCCTAGAGAAATGATGCGCTGCGCTGGGTCAGTCGGCTGCCCAAGACCTCTTTAAAGCATTTTGAGAAGCAAGGATGCGACTTTGAGGACTTAAGGTGCATCTGACTCAGGCCATGGGATTTTCAATCATCTCATCCTCAGGGGAAAGTTGGATATTGAATAAAAAAGAGTGAAGAGTCATTGCATTTGAATTATGGGTGTTGGCAAAGAATATTGAAAGTACCACGGATCACCCAAAGGACAAACAAACCTGTTTTAGAAGAAGTACTGTCAGAATGCTCCTTAGAGGCAAGGATAGCGAGACTTTGACTCACCTGCTTCAGACATAACTTTGGACCTAAGGTTGTCAGGAGAGACCGGTCCTTGGAGAAGGACATCATGCTCGGTAAAGCAGAAGGGCAGCGGAAAAAAGCAAGATCTGCCACAAGATGGATTGACCCAGTGGCGACAACGTTGAGCTCCCACATCAGAGCAATTGTGTGGCTGGGGCAGGGTTGGGCAGCACTTCCTTCTGTTGTCCACAGGGCCGCTGGGAGTCAGAACTGACCCAATGGCGACCTCACAACAGAGAAATGAAGAGACGTCCTGGTGGGGCTATGGTGAAAGCAGGAAGCTGCTAACTTCAAGGTTGGCAGTTCAACTCCACCAGCTGCTCCCTGGGAGACAAGTGTGGCAGGTTTCCAGGAGAAAGATCACAGACTGGGACATTCTATAGGGCAGTGCCACTTTGTCCCACAGGGTCACTGTGGGTTGATATTGACTTGATGACAACAGGTTTGGAGTTAGTTTCTTAAACATCAGTCTGTTTTTATATGTTTCTTAAATCTAAGGTCTGACAGCCCCTGAGCTGTACTATTTGGCTCACTCTACAGTGCAGTGAGTTAAAATCTTGGGCTGTTAACCACTAGGTCAGCGGTTCGAACCCAACAGTCAATTTATGGGAGAAAGATGAGGCTCTCTGCTCCCTTAAAGCTAGATAGCCTTGGAAACCCTGTCTAGGGTTGCTATGAGTCAGAATTGAGTCGAAGGCAGTGGCTACTGCCTAGCATACTGCTACCAACACATCCAGTGCAGCCATGTGGGAAGTGTTTGCTGAATTACTAAATGAGCCACAGCTAGCAGTGCTTCAAGAGCTCAAAACAAGAAGACCGTGTCTTCTTAAATTCTGTGTCCCCGAGAGAACTCACTCAAAGCCATGGAGACAATTCCAACTCATAGTAACCCTACAGGACAGGGTAGGGTTTCCAAAACTGTAACTCGCTATGGGAGTAGAAAGCCTCCTCTTTCTCCCTCGGAGCAGAGGGTGGTTTTGAACTGCTGACTTTGCAGTTAGATGCCCAACACATAACCACTATGCCACCAGGACTCCCTCACAAGAGAACATGACCTCACAATGAGAAAATGCTCACAAAATTTGATCTACATGCTCACCTCATCTTGGATGTGTCCTCTGGCTCTCCGGGCAAAGGTAATTTCCTCTCCTGGCATTCTCTGCATACCTGGTCTGAGATTGGTATTCACTCTGCCTGGGTTGGCACCTCACCCTATGCCTCTATCTCCTACAAGGTTTAGCAAAGAGCTGTGCCCATTATAGAGACTTGGCTCACCACCCTCGCCACACCTTTACCCACGTGTAAAGAAAGACAGAATGAAGTCACCAAGGATTAAACTGACTTAGATCCAGAATCAATGCTCATGGAAGCAGCAATCAGGAAGTGAGATGACGTTGGCAGGGAGCAAATGAAAAGAAAGGAAGCAAAAAACATATTGCCTTGGGCCGATCTGCTGCATGAGACCTCTTTATATTTTT